CATTAATGTATTGTCTGCCTGAAACAAGGCTCCGTTATATCACCTCTATTGTTTAAAGTTTATTAATAGGCTTTTTTTGTAAAAATGCTCTTAAGAAGAATATATAGACGGATCCAAGCTCCAGACTAGAGAGAGATCAAATTGGTGGCGTATTCAGACGTCAAGGCCTTATTTTGTATGGATTACGCAAAAATTTCAGAAGTGGCGAGGAACCTAAAATCATTTCATGAGCTATCAAGTACGGCAGTCAAAAGGGAAAAGTTCTGTCGTCTTTGTCATAACACGTGGGCAATGAATCTAATATTTGCAATGGAACCACTTTTACGCAAACGCAAACTGAATATTTGGGAGTTACGTTGCTGCGCAATTGAGGGCCAAATGTTTAGTGGTCGACTGTTGTCCAGAAAAATGGAGAAGGTACAATTTCTCAATATTTTGGCGCGCTACTGCTTGTAGCGTCCTCTTAAATGTTAGGTCTCGTGATATGCTTTAAGTCTTAAAGTGCACCACTGCGAATTCATAAAAGCTGCAGAGGGACTTTACTCTCTTTATCTGGAGTTCAGAGTGGGAAAGAATTTGCCGCGGCACCCTTCCCTATTGCATCAGAAAAGGATGGCCTTTTTTGCATGTTTTTTTTATCATACGCACACCAGCTGGGAGCACGTGGAGCGAAAGCTCGCGCTGCAGAACCTAAGACTCCTCGGGTCAATCTCCACCCCGACCCGCTTCAATGTGGATGAGCATCGTACCTGCGTGCGGTCGTGCTCCACTAGTGCGTGGTGCACGTTAAAGACCCCAGACTAACGGTTGTACTCCACTGGCCAGTTTGATCTTCTGCAGCTGAGACACCAGAAGACCATTGAGGCTGACTAACTGCCGGCTGTGTAAACATACTCAACATTATTATTATTATTTTGATCAGACCATCCCCTTTCTGCGCGCTCTAATCCAGACCAGGTTGTCAGTAGACATTTTTTCGTTCGTTGTTCCATCGTGCTCTCGTAAGAAAACCAGGATAGGTAGCCTTCTTTGCGAACTAATGGTTTGTATGCATGTATGTACTTCTGGCGGCAATTGCCCTTTTTAACGAGCGTCTATAAAATAGACATGCCATTAAAAAAAGAAGATAAAGAGAAAGATAATGAAAAGGAACTAGAAAGTCTGAGAAATGGTTCGTAGGAACTCTGAAGTATCACGAGTGGGCTTTCCACCATGCCTCGAGCCTCCTCTTTGAGCACATCACATGTTTGTTCTCCTCCGTAAAACCGAGGGCCTGCTCAATGCGGGTGCCGACGTCTGTCGCAGGTACGATTGCCGGACACTCAAGAAGCAAATGTTGGATAGTTTCTTCTACCTCACCACATGCACTGCACACGGTTTCGGTCACGTTCACATCGTACCGATGCCTGTAGATGCGGGTGCGTAAGGCACCACCGCGGGCCTCGGCAAGGAGTCGGCTGCCCAGTGTGTTTCCACACCAGCGGACGGCAGCGATGTTGGTCTTGAAAGTCGCGTATAGGTGCATGCTGGAATGTTCTTCCATGTCGGCTCTCCACCGACTGGTCTCGGCGGTGTTAATTTGTCCTCTCACCTGCGCAACCCAATCTTTCTTTGTAGAGGGCTCGTCGCTCATCGAGAAAGCGCCGTACTTTGTCCCAAAGCCGATTGGTACGCCTCCTCCATGTCGTGTGTAGGTTCTTTAACTGAATGTATAAAAAAACCATTCGTGCCCAGCGATCTCCGTCCATATGTCGCAGTCGGGCGTAATACTCCAGCTTGCTGCTGGCCTCCCGTGCCTCAAACGAGGACCAGCCAAGGTCACCTTGTACAAGTTGATTAGGCACTCTCCCGTGACATCCCAGAGCCTGGTGCCCGATATCTATTTGTCGTCGCTCAAGGTGTTCCCTAATTTCTCTGGGGACAGATGTAACAGCATTGGCGAAAGGGAGGCCTGGTACAGCGACAGCTTTCCACAGTTCCCGGGTTATTAAATAACGGTCGCAGCTCCACAGGCTCTTTCGACGAAGCACATTGCGCTTTCTCAGTGCCGATGTCTTGAGGTTTCGGTGGTGTTCTGCCAGATAATCTGCTGAAGTAGTTAGTGTAACCCCGAGGTATTTGTGCTTGGTACTAACAGGGAGCACAGCGTTCTGAATGGTAAGGGATTGAAGGACCTCCATGTCTCCGGAGAAAAGCACAATTGCCGACTTTATGGCATTGAACCGTAGTCGAAGTCGAGCCGCTTCTGTTTCACAGGCGATGAGCAGCACATTCATGTCTGGCACGCTATCAGCCATAAGGACAACGTCATCTGCAAAAGCGAGTCCAGGAAGCCGCCAATTGACGACGTTTCCATGCAGAGTGTGTTGCAGGGAAAAGCCAACGCCCGTGCGGTCTACTGCTTTCTCTATATCGGATGTGTAGAGCATGTAAAGAACAAGTGACAGCGAGCAGCCCTGACGTAGTCCTCCTCACACCAGAACGTCATTAGAGGCGACCCCGTTAAACGTTGCCATCACGTGATTGCCATCATATAGTCGTTGTATTAAGCCTACCCTGGGTTCAAGCATGTTGAGCTGTTGAAGTTGTTTTAGCATCAGAGAATGGGGGACACTGTCATATGCCTTAGCAACGTCAAGAAAGCAACCGATGAGATTCCGCTTTTCCACCCGCGAGGTCTCTATGCACTGCGTCAGGATGAATACGTTGTCATCAAGCCGACGATCTTTTCGAAAACCGTTTTGTAGTTCCGTGAGTCCGTGAGAACACCAGTACTCTCGGCCCAATAGGATATGCGCGAATTGGGAATGTTTGCAAACAGCCTCTATGCCACAGCTGTGACAGTGAGAGGGCGATAGTCACTCAATCGTTGTGTGTTGCCTCCTTTCTTGGGAATGAACGTGACTCGACCACGTCTCCAATCACTGGGAACTGGATCCTCTCCGCGAACTATGCGACTAAATAGGTGCGCCATTTGATCTCGTGAATCTGATTTCAAGCGCTTCAACATCTTAGCCGAGATTCCGTCCAAGCCCTGCGATGTATTCGCGTGTAATCACGTGAGTGCGCGATTTATATGCACCCGTCCCACAAGGGTTACATATTCATCTGTAGAGGCCATCGATGGGAACACTTCGTTGGGCCAGACTTGGTCATGTCTGTTTTCTGCAGGAATTTCCACATCAGAGCCAAACAGAAGGTAGAGTTGTTGCTCAAGCAGTTCTCCAACACTTTGAACTGGACCTCCACTGTCATAATCAAGGAGTTGAGGAACACTGTCTTTGCCATCTAGAGATCTCATATATCTCCAGAATTTTTCTACAGCTCTTTTTCCGCCATCTCTAATCTCCGCCATGACATTGCATTCGTGTGTTTGTTTTTTTGCTTCCACAATGTCTTGCGTGATTGCCTTGTTCTTTCGGCACTCTTCTCATAGCCGCAAGGTAAAAGGACTCTTCCCAAAGGTCTTCACCGCTTGTCTGTGTCGCCGGTTAGATTCCTGTTGCATTCGAATTGCTTGTTTAATTTCAACATCCCACCATGGAACAAGGTTTTGCTTTCCTCCCGTCTCCTTTACGATGGAGTGCTTAGCAATGACTATCCTCAACTCGGTTGCAAAATCATCATAGCTGCGGGCTTGCGCACGTCGAGTACTCTCTTCAAAATGTTGGACAACAATATCTATGTCTTCTTCGCGCAGTAGGGTTGTAACCTTGCGCGGTGTGCAGTTCCGAGTTTTTCCAACAGTACCAAAGTGCAGGAAGATGCTGTTGTGGTCGCTGCTGACACTGCACTCGCCCTCTTTATCCACAACCATTTTTTGAAGACGCCTGCCAAGTCTGTTTGACGCGAGTGCATTATCTATGCAGGTCCGATGGTCTCGCACTGTCCATGTATATTGTCCCTCACACTCTTCCCTTAGGTTCAATATTTCCAGTTCGAGATCCTCTGCCAATTGTCTCATCATCCTGCCGTTGCAATCTTCCCGCATGTCTAATTCAACCAGATGTCCGTTAAAAACTCCCAATATAAGCACGAAGATGCCTCGATCCAATTTGTGGATATCTCGACGCACACACTCAAGGACGTTTCTATTGTCTTCGTGGCAGCTGCTTCCCACAGAAATGAAAATGATGCACACAGCTGCCAACACGTTGCCAATTTTTCCATGCACCCATAGGTGTTCCCGGCAATCTTCCGATGTTCGAAGCCATGGTTGTCCATTACTGGACCAAAGGAGTCCAATGCCTCCACCTCGCCGCTCTCCTTGAACTCTATTACAGCCAGTCCAGCACCAGGCTGGGTCTATAGGGGGGGTTCTCCATGTCTCGCAAGTGGGTTTCCGCCACGCCAAATAGAGAATGACCCTTATTGTAAAGAACCGCGTACAATTCATGCCACTTTCGCTGCCGCCTTGCACCATTGACATTCATTTTATTTTTTTTTTGTCTGCGCGTTTTTGTTTGGTGTATTTGTCAAGCGCCAAATAAAAGTGGTTAACTCGAGACCTTATTGAAACCGTGTTTCGTTTTCCGGTACCGTTCAGCGTTGCATGTGGGCTCAGGGCATTACGTTATATTACGTGTTTAAAATATGTCCATTCCATTTGCTATAGCTACATCTTCCTTTAAACTACACACGGGTATTTTTCCTGCGAAAACTTCCTTTATAGGAGAAATATATGAACGCCGTGAGGTGTCCACTGTTTTTATATGAAAGACACCTGAAGCCCTGAAACGCATATATTTAAAATGCAGGGACGCATTTCTTTTTTTCTGGGATGTCCTCAAGCAAAGTACTAAACAAACAACCTTCCGACGACACCACACGGAGTTAGGTTCATTCCCGTAGAAAAACACTTTGAAATATGTACTGATTATTTCATAATCCTGGGCCTACATGCCATATTTCTAACTAGAAGGCCGTACCTATTGCTGAAATAGATGCGCTACTCGAGAGGCTGTATTTTACTGAAACTGCAGGCGGTGTAATAAGTGAGTATGCGGCCTTATTTCGCCCACCTGAATAGGTACACCGTTTGGGCAGCCTTGAACTTCTTGGAGAAAAAAGATATCTTCATGCGCGCGTTGTTTGGCGCGAAAATAACGTTTTCGTTTAAAGCGTTTGGTTTTTTTGTAAGAAAAAAAACAACAAAAAAAAACAAAAAACTCATAGGCGGGTTTGGATTTCGGCCGAGGTGCGCCATCTGACGGAGGCTAATTGTGAAGGTGTAGTGTAACCGAGATTTTGGTTGCACGATCGTAAATGTTCAAATGTTATTTGCAAAACTGACCCAACCTAGTGTCAAGTCCGCGCAACGCTTACCGTTGAACAAAATGAGTCAGCGCATTAGATAACAACCGAACGCAAATGTGAGAACCAGCCTTAAGACCACGCCAGTCTCACATTACTCCAGGGTAACTGCACTCCCTTAATTGTTTAGCAGTGGAGTTTGAAAATAACCGCAACACCTACACTTATGCGGTTTGTGCAGGTGAGTATTACGGCTAGGGGGACATAGCATAGGGGGCGAATCGTAGCGATCAGTCGGTTAGTTAAGCAAGATTTGTAAATTACCTTCTTTAATTAGTGAATTTTAATTAGGCTTCACTTATAAACTTGCTGAGCATCATCGAAAACAACTCAATCAACTCTTTCTAGAAGGGTATAACTAGGGCTCCGCGTTTTCGGTTTTTATTTTTTTTTCAAAATTCGGCGTACTTTTTTCGGTGTTTATTTTAAAATTCAATTTTCGTTTTTTTTTCGGTGTATATCTATTCCCCAAAAAGTTTACCGATTGTTTTCGGTGAATTTGAAAGAAGCACAATCGGACACCGGGTGAGATGATCCTTGTAGCTCAGATATTTGTGATCACTCAAAGAATAACGACACATATATATGCATCGTCATCGCTACAACTTCCTTCAGGACACACCTCGAAATCGGGGAATTCGCGGGCATAATCTTCAGCGCTATTCTTTTTCCTTCCCATTCTGACAACGTGACCGTCTGAGGTGGTGAACGTGAAAAGACCAGAAAATGGAAAAAAAAAAAAGAAATCCATTGTATTGATGTTTTCAACCACAGGGAAGTTTGAGAGAGTGTGTTAAGAAAGGTATTAACGGCTCTCTTCGATCCTCCGAAGTGCATCAAGCGAAAAACCTCATACTAACTCACACCCGAACTTTTTTTTTTTTTTTTTTGGACCGAGAACTTTACACACTAAGCCCGATCACAAAAAGGGCACATATGTCCCTTGAAGGCCAATCCAAGACCTCTTTTGTTGCATTTTGAACCTTGGGAGAGGGCAATTACGAAGGTGTCACACAATGTCGAACATTGCAAAGCCCTCTCTCTCTCTCCCCCTCCCCCACCGTACTTTTATCGGTTAAAACCGAAAACGCCGAACCTACAAACTGACCTTTTTCGGTTAAAACCGATTTTTTGAAAATGGATTCGGCGTACTGCGATCGGTTTTTATCGGTCCAAATCGAAAACTCCGAACCCCAGGTATAACGCAGGGGCAGCACATTACGGCGTTCCATAACAACGCTCCATTTGCACGCACTTCTAGGTGTCGGTTTCTTATTGGAGCGCATCTCTGCGCCCGCGTTCATGCTCTCCAGTGGCTGCGACACATAATACACGTGCACGCCACTTCCCTCCATCCTACGAGGAAGGCGAGGGGTTGGCTTCGCGCCGCGAGCACTGGGCAGCAGGACCCTGGCCGCAAAGAAGCGCTCCGATAAGAAACTGCAATCTAGGAACGCGTTCATATTAGGTGCTTTTTCAAAACGCCGTAAAACGCTGCCCCTGTCATATTTCTCTTTAAAAAGAGTTGATTTAGCGGTTTCCGATGGTGATCCTCAAGTCTGTGATTGGAACCTTATGTCCAATTTCACCCTTTAAAAAGCTAACAAACAAATTACATTTAATTAGAGGACTGATTGTTACGATTAGCCCCCCCCCCCCCCCCCTCCCCTATGTCCCCCTGGAAGTATAACTCATCTGCACATGCAGCGTAGATCTAGCTTTCACAGCCTTTTTTAAAGAAATCTGTAAAGCTTAAAAAAAACACAAAAAGCACCTTTTATTCTTACATGGAACTAAGATGATCGCTGAAATATGTTTTGTTTCGGAAACTTGCAAAAAAAACATAAGCAAACTGCACTTTTTTTTCTTTTTCACTTAGGTTCCGCATACCTTAACGGACTCTGCGAAGAACTATTTCGTTTCGGTATAGTGGAAGATGTCGCTCATACATACTCCATGGTTTCCGCTGCTGCTCACGAGATAGGACACATGTAAGTCCTTTTGCGAATATTATTTTAGAGCTCTGCTCACTGGCAAAGCTTTTTTAAACGCAGTTTTCTGAATGATACATAAGAACAATTATTAACTCAAAATAAAAAAGTGCCATTTTTATAATAATTGTTTATCTACTTGTTTTCTATATGAAATTGAGTATTGCAGAACCCACCTTTAGGCTAATTGCAACGGTATGTAGAAACTGCCCTACCGGACGAATTTAATGCACCGGTGAGTCTCATAGTCGATATTGGTTCAAGACAAACTCCTATGAATAAAATGAATAAAATATAAAAATCATGTAGTCATATCTGTGGAATTACCAATTATAAATAGGTCAAAACAATAGTTTTTATCTAATACAACTATTGCACATGCAATATTTGACGAGTTAATATATATCAAATTATAACATTTCTAATGAATTGAACCAAAATATTGCTAAATAATACTTAAAATAAAATGTCCTAAATGAGCCAGCTGAAGGCACATCATGGAACACAATCAAAACGAAATGTCAACATGAAAATTAACTTAGAGCGGGTTGATAAAGATGATTTGAAAAAACACTAAAGAATAAAACATGTAGGAACGAGGACGAACAGTAGATTTCTTGAAACAAGCAGCAGACATTTAATGACTGAACCATTATTGCCGTAAGCCCTTCCCTTCCCTGCCATACGAAACTCCTCAGAAAAGGAAATAAAAAAGAAATCCTTCAGAAAAAGACGAAACCCGGGAGAAATAAGAGTCTGTTAAGGCAGAAGACAAAAATGAGAATGTAAGCGAACTGCTCAGTTATCGAAAGAAAATGTAAAGGAATAAGAACGGAAGTAAGATTTTGAAATATTACTTGAAGACGAGCGTGTCGGTGAATTAGATGCAAATGCGTGAAAGAATAAAAACACAAAGGACGGTGACAAGAGAGAGGACCTCTTTTATTTAGTCATAGGGAATGTCAACAAAGATATGTTTACACCTTTATTATCAATGGAAGACAAAAGTCGATCTCTTAAAACCAAAAAAAAAAAAAGCCCAGAATACTAGTACCTCGTCGTGAAACTTGTGCTTTTTAAAACTTATATTTATAGTAAATTTCACTTTCCTTCACCCATTGCCTATGTTTCCCCTTCCAAAACTTCGATATCTTTAAGGGTGATGATTATATTTCGTGTATTTCATGCTGTTGCTAAATGTATTCGTAGAAATCGAAAAAAAAAGAAAAACTAAGAAGAAAAGGAGGGGATTACTTTACACCTGCCACGTGAAATTTATTTCTATCTTGGATAACCATAGAGGAGGCGAGGCAAGCGTCAAATCATCCCCGGCCATCCTACAGGATCAAATTATTTATCTTCCAAATCTGTCCTTCTATTTCCCGATAGCTTCGGCTCATACTTCGAACAAGTGCGGCTCTGGTCCACAATCGGCTGAAGAGTATCACTGGATGCTCATTTTACTTTAAGAATGTGGTCTCTGAAACGAGTGTTGATGTATCTGCCTATAGGGGTGGGACCACCATTCTCACCGTGTTAATGACTATAGACTATCTTCGTTGTTTACAAATATAAACTGCCGCTTACGTTCCAAGCGACTTCCGGTTGCTCCGTCTTTTGCAAGCCTGTCGATCTTGCTCACGTTACCATTGCAAGCAAGCATAACTTCTACACGACCAAAAAGTCGGGGAATATTTAACGAGGGCCTTTGACTGTACAATTTAACATATCGGAGGACGCAAGTTGGTGTAGAAGAATATTCAAAAACGTTTACCAGATCTCACGCCGATGCGTTTTCTCTTTTTGGCATTTTTTTTGGAGAACTGGAGGTTTAACGTTTCATCTACATTTCCAGCAGCGGTGCTAACGTGGCCTTTGATCATTCTTTTTGTAAACCGGAAGTTCTCTGGGACGTCAAGAACTAAAGCACCGTCTGGTGGCGTCTGCCATGAAAAGGCTTCATACACCAATGCGCGGTGCTGACGTCACAGCGCTGCGGTGGTACTGCTATTGGCAGGGCGCATGCGCAGACGCTCCACTTCACGCGAGTCTGGTTTCTGCGCACGCGCACTATCCACACCTCGCGCGGGATTGTTTGGAAACAACGGGTCGGCCTATGCGCTCTTGTGGTTTTCACACCTTTGTAGCGTCCGTTTTGGGTTTAAGAAACGTTCGACTTTAACCAGCTCGCCTGGTTTAGTGCGTTATTTCCGTTCCAATATTTACGAGTGTTCAACCCCGCGTTTGAACTCCTCAGCCTAGCACGCGCATATCTGTAGCTGGGGAAAGCGAGCGAATCACGCGCAGTCGCACAAACACTGAAAACGGAACCGGCCAGAAGCGATGTCTAATCTACGATGACAATACGCAGAAAAGGGATAAGATAAATGTCAAGTGAAATAGGTTTGTTTGGATTGTTCGTGATTGATGTCAATGTGTTAGATATAAATATATAGGACAATGAAAAAGAAGTTTAAGGTGACAGAGATAACATTTTAATCATGCACCACGGCGTAACAACAGCCGTCTTGATGCTTAATGAGAATTGAGCAACAACTATCTGTTTAGTATATATAAAAAATTTATGTTTTGGTGCGATGGAAGTGTGGAAATGTATTTACTCACATATTCTTCCCGTGATGCATCCCGTTGTTAGAGTGTGCATTTTGTGTTGTCCACACTTCACAGTCCTCAGTGGCTTTTGTCACTCACAGACTCGGAATGCCTCACGATGGGGACATTCCGCCCTACCATGCTCCAAACGTGACATGGGAACGATGTTCGGTGACGTCGGGATCTCTCATGGCACCTTCACTTGGCGGCAGAAATGGATGTTTTTTTTCCCACTGTTCTCTGCAACACATGAGGGTTTTTGTAGGGTAAGTAAGGTTCCTCTTATGTTTTAGAGAATGTTTTTGTTTTCTCTATGTCTTAAAACTGCCTTCGCTTAAAAATTAAAATAAAATCTAAGTGCAAGAACTATGACCAACATTAAGGCAGCGGATCAAAAAAAATTCAAACAATGTATACGCATTTTAAGGTATTTAGCGCACAACGTAGAAAGAAGAACCGGACAGAAAAGAGCGACCTTTTCCGTCCTGTTCTTCTCTCTCCTTTGTGCGCTAAATACTTAAATATGTTAGACTACCAACTAGCACAGATGTCAACTTCACTGCAATGTGCACGCCACTTGAATGTTTTAGTTTTTTTTTTGTCTCTGTGTAGACTTCGGAAAATGTAGCCTTTTATCTATACTGCATTTATTCTCAGGTCAGAGCGCAGTCAAACACTAGAATATATTAAACCACAGACGCGTATACTTAACCCGTAAGTTGATGCGAAGTCGCTGAACTCGATTACTTGAGCCGGGAAGGACATCGCACAAAAAGCGAAGAAACGGCGTGACGTTGCACTTCTACCGTTGTAGACTCGTGGCGTCGACTACGCTCGGACCTCATGTCAAACGATGTATGGAGATGTTTTAAACACACTCATCACTTCGATCCCGTGTTACACGCTCGGAATATGACATGAAAATTCACAAGTCAGCGCTATATGAACAGAAGTTGGGGCGTAGGAATACAGCTTACAATCGTATAGCACAGCGTTATTCCAAATTTGAACACTCCGAAAAAAAAAACAGTTTATTTGACTAGGCAGCCGGTGGTCTCGGGTGCTGGTGGACATCCCCTGCGCCAGGGCAGAGACTCGTTGGGTCAGTGGCCTGACTCGCGTGCAAAGTCGTAGCAAGACACCACGCTTTTTAACGCTAAGTACGGGATGTCCGATTAAAAAGCCTATGGCCTAGTGAAAGGTGGACCTGGGAAGCATGCGGCATGATAACGTCTTTGAATTGCTCTGGCCCATGCTCATTTTTTTTTTCGAATCTAGAACTAAAACGCAACCACAAGTATCCCTTTAAGATCACCGTCTGTACGTGTGCCGTTAATATGTTTCCTTCTGACAACCCCGGTGCACTTTTACGCCCTGTAAAAATAATTAACATGTCAACTAAGGGTATGTACACGCCCTATTCGCGGTACTGCGGTAGCCCTAGTTTGCTCCGATTTTTCACTATATAACTTCAAAGTCACACAACTGAGGCAACGTGCTTTTGAAGGTTCTGTTAGAACATACATATCATAGAAGAGTTGCAAAAGATATTTTTATATGATTTTTAAACTAATCCGCATATTGTGAATGGCGCCATTTCAGCGTTTCGTATTCTCTTACCGTTAACCAGGAAAGCAATACTTAGCGCAGCGATTAAAAAAAAAATATGGCAACATGTTGGCAGCGTTTGAAAATCCTAGCATTTGTACACGGGAAAAAACAAAACTTCTGCATTATTGCGCATTGTGCCGTGTTTGAGGTTATTTTCTTTTTTTTTGCTAATACTCCACTCTAATTAATTTAAGTCAATTTTCTTTGAGCGTATTTTGTTGTTAAATATTTCTAAACCCGTAGCCGCGGCAGTTGTTTTGGGGGAGCTGCCCGAAATTGGCCATCTTGCCAAATCTACAAAAACAGCTTCGGTCTGAGTACGCTTAATTTTTTTTTTTTCGGGCTGAAATCTAATTGTTGCCCAAGACAAAATTTGTTTTTGTTCTTTTGGCATTGAATCACCCATATATATATATATATATATATATATATATATATATATATAAGTGAAAGATGCGTACTGTCGGAGTTACTAATTCGAAGTTTATTACGACGTTTCGAGCGGGGACCGCTCTTCATCAGGTAGCGAGTATACAGCCCGCGAATGTTTATATACCCCTAAGAAGAAATTAGAGGGAGTAAAGTGCCGTAGAAAATGGAAACAGCGTTGACAAAACAGATAGATTACACAGAAAGGAGAGGGCACCAAAACTTGACAATCATAAAAAAAAAAAAAAGTTGTTGGTGGGGAGATTATTTCCTCTCACAAAAAAAAAAATAAATAAAAATAAAAATAAAAAAGGGGGTGGCTCGTCTTCAAACCAGAAATAGGATACATGTGACCACCGACGCCCCCAAATCCCGTGACATTCCTTTGTGCTAGAGGTCGAAGTTAAACACTTTGGGGGATTTTTCTTTGGATAAGGAGTGGTAGGGATGTGACAGTCTATGCCTGCCTGAGATTAACCGCTTGAGCCGCATTTATCCGTTTTGGAGGTTCTCTTCGGACTTAAACGTATTAGGATGTGGTTTAACTATCGATTGTTAAGTTTAAAGATCTCCTAGTGTCTTCAGTGTGTGCATCTAGAGAAGCTCAAGGGCGGAGAGGATCAGCTCTCCAAGGAGCCAGCTGCAAACTAAACAGCCTTCCCGGACTTTCATTAATGCCCTGGTTGAAGGTATTAAACTTATAAATAAAATATGATTCTTTTTGCTCTCTTTCAATTTTTGTGCTGAAGCCTGATTCCAAAATTACAACAGAAATGTGCTTGATTGAGTGATTAGAAAGAGACAGGTGCTTTGAGAGCGGAAGGTCGGGGAGTGTTTGTGCGTGACATTTGTGGTTGTTAAAGCGTAGTCTGAAAGCCAAATTAGTCTGTCCGACGTACTGTTTATTACAGACATTGCAGTGCAGGAGATAAATCACGTTTGACGTGCCGCAATCGTAGCTACCCCTTATGTTCCACGTGAACTCTGAATTTGTGCTCGTGGCGTTCTTTGTTTCTAACATGTGCTTGCATACTTTACACCTGGGCTTTCGGCATGGTCGGCAACCTAGGTTTGCGGGAGTGGTAGTTTTTGATTTTACTAAGACGTCCCTGAGATTCCTGCCGCGTCGATAGACGACCCGAGGAGCGGCGGGAAAGATTTCTTTGAGGCGGTCGCTCTGTGACAGAAGATTGTAATTTTTGCTCAATATGTTGTTGATGTTTGGAAGATTGCCTGTATACGTTAAAATAAGGTTAGACTATCTGCTTTCTTGAGGACGCTCTATTCGGTTGCCAATGATTTCTGAGCGGTCGAGGTTTCTTGCCTTGTTTATAGCGTCATCGATTACTTTTGCTGGATACCTCTGCTGGGTTAGTACGCGTTTCAGTTCCTGAGCGTTTTGTTCAAAGTCGTTGTTGTCTGAGCATATGCGCTTAAATCTGTGCGCTTGAGAGTACGGCAGACTAGTCTTACAGTGTCGAGGATGGCAGCTGTTAAAATGGAGGTATTGTTGTCTATCGGTAGGTTTTCTGTAAAGTTTCGTACTTAATTTGTTGTTGGAAATTTCCACAGTTACATCCAGGAAGTTTATGCACTTTTGTGATACGGAGTGAGTAAATTTTATCGATGAGTGAGCTAAATTGAAGGCGGCGATAAATTTCATGAGTTCGTCTTCAGCACCGGCCCAGATCATGAATATGTCGTCGATGTATCTTGTGTAAAACAGCGGTTGAGTGGGGCGTTCAGCGAGAAAGGTGGTTTCCAGTTGTGACATAAATATGTTAGCGTAATTTGGCGCCATCTTAGTTCCCATAGCGGTTCCATTGGTCTGCAGGAAGTGCCTATTCTCAAATTCAAAGTGATTGTTCTCCAAAACCAGTTTCATCAGAATTGAAAGGACGTCCCCCTCGATGTCAAGTGTGTGCTGAGCGTGTTCATACGCTTCGATCACTGCCGCAATTCCGTCTCTGTGGGGTATATTTGTATATAGGGAAGCCACATCAAGGGTTACGAGAAAAGCGTTATCCGGAATGTCTAGTGGGGAAATTTTCTGCAGGAAGTGGCTGGTGTCCTTAACAAACGAAGGGAAGGTTGGAGGAATGTCCCTGATCAGTGTATCGACAAGACTCGAGCTACGTTCGGTGACTGTGCCTATTCCTGACACTATGGGTCGCCCGGGGTTGTTGACCTTGTGTATTTTAGGAAGGAGATAAAAGCGACCGGGTTTAGAGTGGGATGGTTTTATGGCGTTAAAAACCTCCTTGGTTATTTTGCCACTTTTCTTTAGAGCTACTAATTCCTTTATGATGGCCGTTTCAAGCCTTTGTGTGGGGTCTGTCGGTAGTTCGCGGTAAAATGATGCGTCATTCAATTGCCGAAAGCCCTCATCAAGATAATCTTGTCTGTTCATAACAACTATGGAGCCGCCCTTTTCTGCAGGTTTAATAATTAAATCTGCCCTGGCGCTGAGTTTTGTCAGGCACTCATTCTCTGGCCGAGAAAGGTTATATTTTGTCGATCTTTGCCTCTTCACAGCGGAAATGATTTCGCGTTGCGTGATATCAATGTACATGTCGAGGTACTTATCTCTTCGCGGATTAGGCGTCCATTGCTTTTCTGGGTTGGTCAGAATCGTTTGGTTAGGATTCGGTTGGCGGTCGTGAAAGTACTCGCGGAGCCTCATGTTTCGGGCAAACTTGTCCAGATCTTGGTACAATTGAAACTCGTTGTAGTGGCCAGTTGTGGGGCAGAAGGTTAATCCTTTAGAAAGGATGTTGGTCTCTTCCCGCGTTAACACTGCGTCCGATAAATTTACTATGTTGCCTTTGTCCACTGTTTTTTCGCAATGTCTCCCGGAACGCGCTGCAACTTGCGGCCGGCAGCCAATCGTGTCTAGAGCGGCGGAGTTATTTGAAGCCAGCGACGGTTCTGCGTCTGCAACCCGTGTAGGCCCTGGCGGTGGAGAGTGGGCATGGATAGTTGCTTCGGCTGCCATCGAATCAGTACTCATCATGAACGTCGGTTGGGGACATGCGTCAGATATCTTGTCACGCTCGAGTTTTCTCTTTTTCGTTATCCACAGCTCGTTGCGTCTTTTCTGCTCATATAGCTCTATTTCGGCGTTTTCCTCGCAGCTTAGTGACCCGTCGTTTCTGATCTTGATTTCTGTGATCCTTCTGATCCTTCTGTGGAACGACTCCGCGAAGTCCTGGGCCACATCCGATCC